AGAGAGAGAGAGAGAGAGAGAGAGAGAGAGAGAGAGAGAGAGAGAGAGAGAGTCTTACATAGCCCAGGATAGCTTCAACATGGCTACATGGTTGAGGGTGACCTTGAACTTCTGATGCTCCTGCTTCTACACCCGAGTTCTGGGACTGCTGGAGTTCACTGCCATGTCAGGTTTATGAGGTGCTGGTATAGATAATCACTCTACCACCTGAGCTAAAACCACCCCCTTCTGTATTCTTTATTCACAAGTATTTAGTAATGTCCAAGGACGAGGGTGAATAAACGATGTTGTGTGGAGGGAGGTATGGGCAAAGAAAGACAACAGGAAAAAGTCAAAGAGGGGAAAAGAGGAATGAAGCCCGCCTGCCTTCATCCTTAGTGCTCCCACTTCTTTCTCAAAGTTGCCTAGGTGGAGAGAATGGCCACTCTCCTGAGGTTGTGGAGGGTGCTGCTGGAGAAGGAAAGGGCGGATCAAGCCTCTGATACTGACTTTCTTGGGTCACCTGAGTCCCAACCCACTCTCAGTGGAATCATGACTCAATTGAAGACTTTTTGCCAATTCTGGCAAAGGTCTTTGTGTTCTCCAGGAGCCCCCACACACTGCAGAGGCCCAGCAGGTTGACTTGCTGAGAGCTGTCTGGCCTTTGCTGGGAAATATTTAGGATTTATATTATTGGGTGGAAGAGACCAGTCAACTAGTTTCCATTCTTAGCCTCAGGGGTAATAGTTTAAAAAGGAGTCATGTTTATAATTGTGTTACATGGACATCCAGAAGAGGTGGGGTCAAATAATGAAGGGGGGGCACAAGAGATCACTGCAGAGTCACACAATGGATTATTAAACCCACTGAAAATATCTATCAGACTCAGTGTACACAGCAGACCACTATAATCCTGTATCACTTCTGCATAACAGCCGCTGACAGGCACACTTTCTAATCTATGAAGCGTGATAGGCTAACTTGAACGAGATTTGGAGGTTAAGCATCCTCTCTCATCTCATATGGTTTTCCACTTATTTTGAGAGCTGTAGAGCTTAATCCCATCCTAATTCATGCTCTCTGTTTGTATCAGAGAACTAGCGTGAAGGAAGAGAGAACACCCCAGCACTGTTACCTTTGTGTTTGGGATACTTTAATTTCAGTGATGTCTCAACATTTTGTTTTGCTTTAGAAATGTTATCTGAATTTTTAAAAAAGGATAAAAAGCCTGTATACACAGAAAAAAAGAGTTATGAAAGTTATACACCTAGTTATGTAACTAAAGGTGTGCACCCAGCATTTTATACCAGTGACCAAAGATTTCATGTCAACCTTCGCACTGAAAACAACCAGGAATGCGGCTTTTAAAATGACCCAAGAAGGGAAAAGCCTGAGAACTGCCTGAGCAGGAGTTCCCTTCAGGCCCAAACTGAAGGAATAGGGAGAGTCTAGACAGGAAGCTACTGGTGTCTGAGCAGAGGCTCTGAACTCATGAATTATGAACTTTCCATAATCAAAATAGCCAAAGACTGGCACACGACTTCTGCAGTTAGTGAGCCCATCTCTTTTGTGGGATTAACACATCTTTAATACCAAATCCAATGAAAATAATAATCTTTATCTATTGACATGTCACATTTTTCAAATCCTTATTTGCACTTGGCCTCATGTTCTCTCTCCCTAGAAAGAATTTTTTAATGTAGTATGATTAAAATGGTCATATTTTATTTTTTTCCACATAGAAAATATGTGTCCATGTGCGACACTAGAAATTTGTGCTTTATAAATATCATTTGTCAGGGAGAAAAGAAGATAAAACCTTAGTATGTCAGAAGATGCAGTCTCTATCCAAATTAAATGTCCAGCCAACAGCCACACCATATGGCAAAGGAGCATTAATAGAGTAATACTACTTTTGAATACCAATACACATCAAATCACATCAATTAACAAAAAGCTACATCATGAAGTTGACGTATATAAAGTTGAGTTTATCCTAGGAGTGTGTGGTTACCCCTGCATTTGAAAATTAGTTGCTGTAGCAATTAACTGATCACAGAGAAGTATTATTGTTCACACGAAGCAAAAACAAAAGGAAAAACTGCCCAAGCATTTGCTAAAATTCACATTCACTGAATTTTTTTTTTTTAGAGCAAACTAGAAACAAAAAGGGATATCTTTAATTGGATTCCATAAAATTCCACACTAATTATAATTGACGGTGAAACATCAAAAGCTTTTTCTTTCAGAGCAAAACAATATGAAAATATCTGGGTACAAGTTGCCATCTATTGCCTTCCTTGTTATGCTAATGGTTTTAGCTAGTTAGATAGGAAATAGAAGTGAAAGGCTTAGAGACCAGGAAGGAGGAACCAAACTGTAACATTTGTGGACATAAGTATAGAGAGAATCTAAAAGGATCTACAGCTAAATTGCCATCACTGATACAGGAGCCTAATAATTTGGCTGGATAGAAAATATATATCAAATCAATCATATTTTTTACATATATAGTAATAGCCTTAGAAAATGAAAAATTAATTAGTTAGTATTTAATTGCTTGGACATTCATTAATAACTAAATGAAAATCTAAAAGAATATATGTGATATCTTTTTGCTGAAGGTCATAAAACTGAACGAAGAGCATTTAAGAGGACTTAAGCACAGGGATTCCATGTGTATGAACTGATAGGCAACATCAGAAAACAAGTTAGTTTTCCAAAGTTGACATGTAGCTTCATCGTTCTTGAGAAATATTTTGTAGGATATTTTCGTGTGTGCATGCGTGCATGTGTGTGTGTGTGTGTGTGTGTGTGTGTGTATGTGTGTTTGTGTGTGTGTGTGTGTGTGTGTGTGTGTGTGTGCTGATGCATGCCACAGCGTATGGATAGAGTTCAGAGAACAGTCTGTGGGGATTCATTCTTTTGTTTTAGACCCCCACAGTCAGACACTGACAGACCATGTACTTTGATTTGTCTCTCAGCCAAGTACTCCCCAGCCCAGCTGTGCTCAGCTTCAAAGGTCAGATGAGACAGGCATGGTCAGGGTGACATGGCTATCGGATGACATTTACTTTGTGATAAAGGTTGGATCCTCTGACAAAATAAAGTAACACTCTTCTCTCCCTGATAGAGAGAAACGGTATGTATAAAGCACAAGCCTCTTCAGTGTCCTTCAGGGGCACATATTTTCTATGTGGAAAAGATAAAACTTTATCTTTTATTTATGCCACATCAAAAATTCTATGGGAGAATATGGGCTAAGTGTGAACAAAGACTTGATGTATCAATATCTTTATCATAGATAAAGATTTTACACACAATACATAAAAGTAACCAATATAAGGAAAACAATGGATTTGATGTATTAAAATTGAGAGAAGGAGTCTTAGGACATACATAACCAGCAGAAGACTTACAAATCAAGTTACATAAAGGACTTCTTAAAGCAGTGGGAAAGATAAATTATTAAACAAAATAATGAGCTTTAATAGATGCCTCAAAACAGGACATCCAGCTGATCAATAAACATTTGGAGAGTTGTTAATCTCATTAGGTGTCAGCCAAGCAGCAAGTTAAAGCACACTGAGGTACCAGCATCACCACCCATCCTTGGATACAAACCCGACAGACGCTCGTGTCCAAGGTGGGTGCAGCTGCATCTCTCTGATCAGCCGTATTGGGATAGCCTCAGCCTGGGAACACTTGGGAACAGTAACTTGTGGAATATTCTATAATAGGACCACCAGGAATGTAAGTGAACATTTCTACGCATGTAGAAAACATTAGAAAGGACCCAACAAGAAAACACTCACTATGGTCACGTGTATATAAAGTTCAAAATTAGACAAAGTGTGAGATGTTCACGCACACGAGAACAGTACATAAAAAAGCAGGAAGGCTGCATTAAGCCAGAATGGTGGCACTTCTAGGGTTAGAGGGTTTCTGGGAAAAGACTCCTCCTACTGACATAAAATCCAGCGATTGCTTCAGAAGTATTCTTTCAACGGTATGCATAGAATCTATGGATTTTCCAGATGAGTGTATTTTGCATTATATATGTGCATATATATTTAAAAGTCTGTTTGCTATAGGATGGGTGTTGGAAAGACAATTTGAATGGAAAAGGGGCTATTGTACATATCTTTAAAACGTTTTTATTTTAATGAAGATTGTGGTTTGAACAAGTAAGACTGTTGAGGTATTTCACAATATCCATAACTGGTTGCATCTGTTTTTGACTGTTCCATTATGTTTCTGTCAGTTACATTTTTTTCTCCTGTGGGGTGTTGGGACATTAATATTGGGTATTTCCCATCTCTTTCTTGCATAAGCCCCACATACCGATTCTCTGGGTAGGCAGTGACCAACACAGCTGGGTCAGAAACACCCTTGCCCCCAACTGAGAAACTAATTTAGTTGTTCTTGACTTTGTAGGAGACCAGGACTATACTGACCTCAGCTCCTCGGGACTGTCTTAGTGTCACTCCTGAAAGGGCGTTTTGGAAGCATCTTTGTTGTCTCCACCGAGTCTGGATATTTCGTCAGGGTTATGCTGGGAGGAGGCGGTATCACAGGTGGTCCTTTTGACAAAAGTGTCTGCACGCAGCCAGATCCTTTAGCCAAGAATTGGACTGTGTTGCTCTCTGTGTAAGAGCAGCAGGTGACAAGGGAGACACTGAAGCCCCAGAGGATCCCCA